GAATAATCTGTTTACCATAATGGTGCTGAGAGGCTGGCCCAGGTTGCCCAGAGAGGTGGGAGATGCCCCATCCCTGGAAACATTCAAGATCAGGTTGGACACGGCTCTGAGCAACCTGGTCTAGTGGGAGATGTTCCTGCCCATGGCAGAGGAGTTGGACTAGATGATCTTCAAAGGTCCCTTCCGACCCAAAGCATTCTGTGATTCCATGTCTCTATGAAACACAAGGATTTGGAGCAATGGCAGAGCCTGGGCCCTCTGTAGAGATGACTCTACTTTCAGGTTGCCCGTTGGCTTGCAGACTTATTTGCCATTAAAGCTCCTTCAAATAGAGGGGAAAAGTCATAGAAACTATGTTTTTATATGAATTTTTAGTAGAAAAGCAGTGCTGTCACTGTGCCATCCCCCAAATCGAGCCAGTGTCCATCTGAATCCCCGGCCCTCCTGCTGCTCAACGCCATCCCCAACCTCCAGCAGACGAGCTCCTTGCTCCGCTGCTGACTTCAGTGATCGGCCTCGGGCATCAGAGCTGCCGAACCCTTCTGCCCTTTTGAGGAGAGAGCTCAGCAGGGTGGCTGCTTTATCCCAAAGGTCAGCATGGGGAGCTGCTCCCGTGCCCCCGAAGTGAAGTTACGTTAAAAGGGCAGGAGCTCACCTACATCCCGCATCGTCAGCAAGAGGCATTTTTATAAACAGACAAGAGGGATCACGCTGAAACCCTCACTGTGTTCCTCTTCCTGTGGATTTGTCCTGTTTTCCCCAAACCCATGCAATATTTGAGCATCTGTGCTGTCCTGTAGCAAGGGGTTTTGCAGCGTGGGCCTCCAAGTGTTGAAGGACCCATGCAAGAGAAAAGCAGGCTGCATCTTTGTTCGTGGAGAAGGTGAAGAATGGGATGGATCTTGGTGTTGTGAACCTTTCATTGTGCCGTGTGTGTTGGGTTGGGTTGTGTCTTGCCATGGGTGTCGCCGTGTGGTGCCTGTCGCCCTGTGAGAGTCAAGGTGGGCTCATTGGGTGGGGTGGAGGCAGCGTCCTGGGTGGTAGTGGGTTCCCCTGGACATTGTGGGGCTGAGCAGAGCTCCAGGACCTACTCACACCCTCCATCATTTGGAATACACTGGGAAGAGCTCCCTAGGTTGCTGGGTGTGGCTGTCACGGTGTTGGGAACACTTGACACTTAGGGAGAAGCTTTGCTTTTTCCCTTCCCCTGGCCAACATTTCCAGCCACCCAGATAGAAATCGCACCTGAAGGCTTCTCCTCTGCCGTGCCTGCATCTCTTCCTGCCTTTCCCGCTGCCAAAAAGTGCCATTTCCCAGCAGAAAGCCTTCTCCAGAAGAAGCTGTGGAGCACTGCGGATGTCTGTCTCCCACTGGCACAGCTGGTGACTGGGGACAGCTGTCAGTGTTGCTGCTGGGAGTTGCTAAAATTCCAGGCTGGGAGTGCAGAAACACTTTTAGGGGTGAACATCTTGATGCCGTTGTTTTGCCAGGGCTGCGTTAAGCCTCCCTGGACAGGAGAGCGTTGGCCGAGCTCATTCCCAAGCCCCAAGCATCACGGGTTGAGCTCCAGCCTTGGTCGGTAGAGTGGTCCAGCAATTTTTTTTCTGAAAAGAACATGCTTCATTCCTGCGCTTCCCTGCTCCTCCTCAAGTCCCAAGCATGTCTGGGACAAGAAAACCCCATGTCCTCTCTGAAAGCAGCTTCTCCAGCCCAGCTAACCTCTTTGGGACCTCCCAGCATCACCACCTTGGGGGTAGATCACTGCTGTTAAGACTTTGGTGACTTGAGTCCGTAAAATCAGGCACTTGGAAGGATGTAGGTGAGTGTGTAGCATCTCCCAGAGGAGAGTGTTATTTTTTATTAGTATTTTACCGTGGAATAGCATGATACGGAGAAGGAAGCACCAACACATCCCGCTCT